TTGACAGACATGACAGAAGAGGGGAATGAACTCACAATTGATATCTCTATTAAGAAAAACTTCTAGAATATGATTTATATACTGAAAATTTGTTGAATAAAACTACTGTTGTAAAACAGTAAAATTTGGTCTTTACTGTAGACACAAAAATAAATAAATTTGATTTCAATAATCAATTTCACAGATGAGTTAATTTTGAGAATTTTCAATAAAGATAAAAACTTTTATATCTCATAAAAGCACATATATTTTTATTTTTGTTAACATTTCGATCTGAAAAATATTTGACTTTTTTAAAAAGTTATATCATTTTTGAGCAAAATTCGGAAACAAAATATTTTCAAACAAATACAATTTCAAGTTTAGAGAGAGAGAGAGAGAGAGAGAGAGTTTTGCGCAAAACTCCGCTGCAGTTTGTATTATAATTGCAAACTTTGGTCAAAATGTATACAAAATATACAGTAATACAGTGTTGTGTGCATTCACTGTGAGAGTGGCTGTAGTTTGGATGAGAGAGTGAGAGGATGGGCTCTCTCTCTCTCTCTCTCTCTCTCTCTCTCTCTCTCTCTCGCAAAGTGTAAACCAGAGTTCACGGCCAGTGGAAAGAGCAGATCGTATTTGATCAGGTTGCAATGAAAACAAAACTTCCTAGTGCAATATTACACTCCCACATACTTTACATACAAACTGATGATAAAATTGGCAAACTTTTCACTCATCCCATAATTATTTCCTACATTTTTGGCAAAACATTATTTAAAACTTTGAACACTACTGGAGAAAAACCATTAACCCATTGATTTTAGCGCTAATTAGTTAAACATTATATTATACTGTATTAGAAATTTTGTTTTCCTGAAACATCACTTGTTATAAATTCACCGATCATTTAGTTTTAGTGATAATAAACTTTTATACCGTATGTTAAATGTATTGATAGGCGAGAGAAACACTGTTTGTGTTATAAATAGACTTTTTCTACTGAATAAACACAAGTGAGAGATGTTTTTACTAATCAAATGGTTTTTCGCACAAATTCACGAACAGAAATATTCGGATCGGTTTTTTTGGTTCACAGAAAACTTTATTACAAACTTTTGGCACTTTTTTCGTGATATATTTCTAATGAAACCTATGATTAAATTTAATATTTGATTGTTATTAATATGGGTTTCAATGGCCGTCAATACACTATTGCAACAGAAATGTAATGAAAACTAATTTCAAAACTTTTGATAACAATTATAATGTGTTGTTGTGTTTGATTGTGTCGTTAGCATTGATTATGAACACGACTTTTACTTATAAATCCATTATATCGTAATCACACTCATGTCTAACATTACTTCGTCGATAGTAAACCTCGTTATTAACCATACATTTCAGTCATTCAATACAATAGAGATAAATAGAGGAATAATTAAAAATTAATTGTAAATACCTTTTATAAAATTTGAAAATTCAATCCCGAAAAACCTTAACATTAATAAGTTATTAAAGTTTTATGCTAAAAAATTATTAGTATTTTCCAAGAATTACACTATTTGTACGAAAACTTTAAGAGTAGTGGAAATGTAGCTAAAAATTTGAAGTGATTTTAAAGACATTTCATTCATTGAAAGAAATTTCAAAAATAAATACTGGAATTGATAGCAAAATGAAGAGAAAAACTTGTTTTTAACGCAAAAATTTTTATAACAATATCTGATTAAAAATATTTCTTTCCAAACCATTAAGTTTTTAATAGAAATTTCAAGGATTTTACTCTAAATAACACTTTTTTCATTCATTATCTCATCGTTTAGTTTGTTTTTATAACAATTTTCGTTTAGCTTTTAATACAAGATATACAGACATATCAGTGGAAGAAATGCTAGTTTTAAATGTTATCTACCATTTCATGACAATCTTATGTTAACAAACTTTTTTCATTCATTCAATCAATTAATGTAATTAACAATTTGTTTGTTTGGATATTAAGGCTTCAAAAAACTAAAATTGTTGATAAATTTAAATGAGGAAACAATTCATTAAAAATAGTTTTAACATTAATTACACTTTAATTACACATAATATGTAATACAAGTATTAATACTCAAGAATTGCATTTTGAAAAAACTTGTTTCAATTGCAATAAACTCTATGAGAGTGTAAAATACAATATAAAAATTTTATGAAATTAATATGTATTTACATTTAAATTCTAGACATTTGTTAAATTCTGTGCATATATTTCAGTGAAATCTATACAAATATTAGCTCAAAATTAATCATAATTTTCAACATAAAATAGTTTCAATAGTACTCATAGATTATCAAAAACAATATTTATTTAAATAACATAAAACTTTATCATTATGTTAATAAAAACTATTTATTTTGATAAATAACAATGTTATCACAAATAACACAAAACTATTTTTGTTAGATACCAGCGCTAACCCATAACCCCCACCCCTTCTCGCACCGCAACCCTTGATCTCCATATAAAGACCATTATCTGGGGAACCGCTGGACTTCTAAACTGAAGACATGGCTTATATATTATACGGTATGCAATATTCCCTGTGGTGTGTGTGAAGAGTTTGGGTGGTATGGGCTAACCGGCGCCCACACATTGAACTCCTGGCCTCAAAACACAGTCAATACATAGCGACCGGTGCTCTCATTTTTCCCCCACATATCAAACGGTTGGGTCCGACGAACCCTTTGCTTATCAATTGAATATCAAAACGAAAACAATAAAAATCAAAACTGTTTTTAAATACTTTCAAAAGGATGTGTGATTAGTGCCGACAAAATATTATCATTAATTAGGTCCATGATCAATTTAATTAGCATTTCTATTTACTATATTGATCAATTTTCGTAACTAATACTGTACTTGATTAATAGTTTGAATTTTTCTCAATAGTGCACAAAATTATTATAAATATAGATTCTCTAAACGAGTTAACACTAAAATATAACTAATTAAACCCATACTACAAATTACCATTACTTTTACATTGAAATATAAACGTTTTATTAATTGAGTAACTCTAAGAACATGGTTAGCAATGAGGGTCTAATTAATATAACATTTAAAATTTATGAAAATCACACCAAATAAGTCGAGTGATGTAAATTAAACGGCAATTTCTTTAAATCATCTTGTTTAATTAGCACAACTAGATTTATAATCTGTCATTTGGTTAACAATTTTATCAAAGCTTTGAAAATTAATTCATTTAAAATTATAATTTAGTTTTTAATAAAAATTATAACCAAATTATTAACAAAATGTGTAAAAACTTCAGACAAAACTGACTGTCATTCACACCAATCCATACTTTATGACAAAATTAAACACTAAATCAATTAAACAAATAAATTAATTGGAAAATTGCTTATTTTTATTGAATATTGATATTATGAATAGTATTTTCAAAAACTACATCATCTTTAATGAGAATTAATTTAAATTATAATTGAGGTAAAATTGGATATAAATATATCATATATTTCTTGGGAAAAAATTTGATGAAATAAATCTTCAATTAATTAATCAATTATTAATTTAAAGACCAAAAAACAAACAAAAAATTATTCATTAATATTTTACACAAAAATATTACATTTCGAGTAATGATATAATCAATGCTATAATGGGTTCGGGGAGAGGGAGAGAGAGCGTAGAGTAATGAATCATTACTAATGATGAATCAAAAATATGATTAAATACATAGAAAGAGTTATTTGAAAATAAACTAAATAATTGTAATTAAGTTACGAATCGCTTTATATAGTGATGTGGTCTCTATTCAACTCCAGCGGTGCGTTCAAAGTGGTCACTAATCGCTAATTAAGTCCATAGCAAACACAATACGAATTAGTGTCGACACAAACTCCCGCGACTACCGGTGAAGCTAAACAGAGACCCGAATGAGACACTCATAACCACTCGTACTCTAAGAAATGTCATTATAAGATGGCTGTCGGCGTCTGCGAAGACATTAACACTAAAACTCGCCGCTGAGAAGCATCTGTCGGCGGGCATCGGTGGCCGCCTGTAGGGACTGATTGTGCTGCGCGTTCTGATGGCGGCTGAGACTGTATTTACTGCTAAAACATTTGCCACAATTGGGATAATCGCACATATTTGGGTTAATAGTGTTGTGCAACTTCTGGTGCTCCTGAAGGTTGTATTTGCGGACAAAGGACTTCCCGCATTGCGGCCATTCGCACGGATACCGTCGGCCGGTGTGTATGTTCTGATGGGCGTCCAAATGCGGTTTCTGGCGGAACCGTTTGCCGCAGTTCTCGTACTGACAGACGTACTTCTTCTCACTATCACAACAGCAACACTGATAGCCGGGAAACATCTTCGGCGCCCGTTTACGCTTCCCGCCAGCGGTGGAGGTTTCTGGCGGAACCGTTTGCCGCAGTTCTCGTACTGACAGACGTACTTCTTCTCACTATCACAACAGCAACACTGATAGCCGGGAAACATCTTCGGCGCCCGTTTACGCTTACCGCCAGCGGTGGCCGGCGCTCCAGAAGTGCCCGCCACTGCCATTCCCGCCGCGTTCATCGACAGGTTCAGCGTATTGTTGCCGCCGTTCAACGAGTTCACCGACGACGACAGCTGATCCATGAGATGCTTGTATTGGTCGCACTCTTCGCGCGCCTCTTTGGCTTTGATCTTGAGTTTCTCGCACTCGTTGTTCTTGTTGTTCAACTTCCGCCTCAGCTGTTGATTCTCGCCGTTCAGTGACGACAACTGATGCTTCAGGTCCTGATTGGTGGTGGTGTTGATTACTGTGGCCATCGGGTTGTTGATCACGTGGTACATGGCCTGAGCCGACGACATCTGGAGGTTCTGTTGCGACTGCATTGCTGTCACACCAGTTGTGTCCCAATTGGGAACCACTAGTATATCTATGATTGGCTGACGGTTTAGCCCCCGACGGCTATTGGCTCAAGAAGTTACTGTCCAGACAATTGTCTCGACACAAGCGATGGTCAGTGGATGACAATCGGCGCTGTCGTCGTGTCTATCATTCACACGACATGCAGACAAAGACCTCGATGTCTGCGCGCTATGGCTGTCAACCAATGGATACGATAATAACGGTGTCAACGATGGACACAATCAATGGTCAACACACGTGACACTCGGCTGTGAGAAGTGGTAATTTTCGACAGCGATTGGTTGGACACGAAATCAAGTGAATGACAATTGGATTGATTGTTGTTTTCGTCAATTCAATGGCAAAAAACGTTTTGTATTACGAAAACTGGTTTTGAAAAATCCCTTTGAAAATGAATGCAACAAAAACTCAATACATATTCAATAGTAAGCGCTGTTATAAATGGGACCAAATGTACGGTCAGTCGCCTCGTATAGCAAATCCTCTGTTTTTAATTATTGCCGCATTTTAAGTGGTATTTGTCTTTAATTATAATACAGTTTTACATACATTAGTATTAATTTAATATTAAAATAATTTTACATTAAATTATAATTAATTAAAAGCAGTTTTTAACTCATTTATTGCATAAGCGATGATTTGATGCCATTTGTCCAGTAATGATGTGCTCACTGTCTGTGCATTGCGTGACATAGAGTACGTCCGGCACTCAAAGCACACACCACTTGACACCGAAAATGGCTGAATGGGATCTGACCACACGTTTGGGCAAATATCTGGACAGACATCTCGTGTTTCCACTCCTCGAGTTCTTGTCCGTCAAAGAGGTAAGTCTGGAGCCGATTGTGGCAATCAATTGGCGCCCAAACACACACCGCCATCGCTGACAATGTGTTGTGTTTGTGACACCAAATGCAAAGCCACGTGTCTATCAATTAATAACATTAGTTCTTTGGCTAATTGTCTTTTCACTGACCACTGGACCAGATATACGAAGAGAATGAGCTGCTGGAGGGCAAACTGGAACTGCTGTCGAACACGAATATGGTGGACTTTGCTTTGGACGTGTATCAGCGGCTGAATCCGGGCGTTAAGCCGCCGGAGTATCTCTACTCGAAGCGGTCAGAAGTGGTCGGACAGCTGAAGCAGTTGCAGATCCAGACGGAACCGATGCTCGAGATTCTGCTCAACCCGGAAGTGTCGGCCGAGATTGAGAAGTCTCGCGACAGTCGCCAACTCTTTGAACTCTTGCAGACAAAATACGATGTAAGCGATCGGTTCCCGACCCCTATTGGCCTCTCCGGCCGCCCAATGGCTTTATAGCCGACACCAGAACCTATTAATTGTCTAACCCTTTGTATCTATTCTGCAGTTCAAGCCGGAAATGTTGACTTATTTATACAATTTGGCCAAATTTCACTACGAGTGCGGCAACTATTCGGGAGCCGCCGAATACCTGTCCTCACATCGAATGCTGATCCCATTCAACGACAAGAACTATCTGAACGACTTGTGGGGCAAATTGGCGTCAGAGATACTGATGCAACAGTGGGAGAGAGCTCTGGAGGACTTGACACGACTCAAGGAGTTCATCGACACGGCGTCGTTCCCCTCATCGCTGCAGGCGCTGCAACAGAGGACATGGCTTATCCATTGGAGTCTATTCGTGTTCTTCAATCACCCGCAGGGAAGGGAACTACTCATCGAGATGTTCCTCGAGAAGAAGGGACAGTACATCAAACAACAGCCCTATTTGAACGCCATTCAGACCATGTGTCCCCATATTCTACGCTATCTGACCAC